ATTGATCATTGATCTTGAAATATGTCAAAAGTTCAAGGGTCTAATCCCTGGAATGTTAAGAACAAAAAACAAAATAGAAGTTGAGAATGGGAGGTTGCAAGAAAACTCAAGGCTGTGGCAAAGGAAAATAAGGAGGTTGAAGGTATAGTTGTTTCTTCACTGGGTTGTCGCTGTTCCATGGTCACCAGTATCCGCCATATTGGCCTTCTCTAGTTCACTTCATCAGCTTTACTGCACTCAGCTTTCTTTGCTACCATGTCAAAGTCATTTGTGTCATCAGCATTTATTGTGGCTTCATTGATGATATTTGGAATGCCTACTCCCACATCAGTTTCATTTTCAATGTCTACTTTCAAGGATTCCGAGTTAGCTACATCAAAAAGCCCCTCTTGAGCATCTCACTTTTGTGGATTCATGTTTACTCCCTCGTCATCACTCTCACTCTCTTTTATTATAATAACATCACTATCGCAACTAGCTGCACCTTTATCTTTCCCAGCCTCTTTTGAAGGAGTTGTCTGACTTTCATGCATGGCGTTATTCTACATATTCTTAGCATGGAACCTCACCCTGTTAGCTACTTAGCTCTACCTCCAAGGCTCCAACTGCGAGATACAGCTCAGCACCTATAAGGTATTAACAAGTAATTCACAGTCCCCATCACATAAGCCAAAAAATAGTCCTTGATCGAGTGGTAATCCCGGCAGTCTACCGTACCACCCAAAACCTACATCTTTTGGGTATCCAAGTTTTTCTCCACATTTATCAAGCATTTGAAGTGACCATTTTTCAGGATTACACTCATCAATGGGGTCAACCCTTCCTGCTACGTATTCTGTGTTTGGCAATCTTGTAAACTCCCCCTGATGGTTCATCTCCAAAGTAAATGGTTCATGCCAAATACCATGTTGCCCGCTCTCTGATTTTAAGCAAATAAGTTTTTTAATCAGAAAATATTTTAAAAAATTCAATAATTTCTAAAAAGGTATCACAATGTCATCAACACAAGGAGCATTAGGGAGATAGATTATGCCATAAATCACTATATCTTGAAAACAAGGACTATAGATTCTTCGAGTAAATTATGCAATAGATCTTTTCCATGACCGTACAAAGCATATTAAAGGAGACAAATTTCAATACCATATAAAACCCTAACTTTTCACTAATCCCTATGGCGATGGAGACATATTTCATTACAAATTAATAGTTTTTTCTAATTCATGTATGGATTATGCTATTAAATTAACCTACATGAAAAGGCAAAAAATTTATTTTGATTACCAATTTCAGTCTTCATTTTCGATTTCTTTAGCTTTGCTGGAGATGGCTTTTCTCTTGAATGCCATCTCTTTCTTGCCATTGTTGCAATCTTCACCGTCTGAAGATCTCAATCGATTTTTGCTAGTATTAGCCAAAAATTTCTGAGTTTTTCTTGTCCTTCTCTCCATTGTCTTTCTCCGTGATTTACAAATCGAACCCCTAAACCAAAGAGCCCAAAATGTTTTTCCATTTGTTTTCTATTTATTTTGCAATGAAATTAGATTTATGCCCTCATCATTTTGGTAGAATTTGAAACCTAGTCTCGTTTAATGGCGTATGTTTGCACACCTCAAGAAGACTGATGATTTTGTGGATTCTATCAACGATTTTACTTAATTGGGATGGATTTAATAATTTAGGGACTTAAGTGTTCCATTTTAAAATTTAGGGACTGAAGTGATATAAAGTGCATAGTTTGAGGGTCAAAACATAATTTACCAATCATCCTCCCCCGGAAACAAAGAAAAGTGTTTTAGAAATGGGGCAATAGAGAAAAGTTAACAGCTTATTGATGATTAAACATGAAAAGCAAGAAAATTTATTTTGATGATCTGCTAATTGGTGTATTAGGTTTTCGGCAGATTCTTTTCTTTGTTTTTTACTATTGGAAAACAGTAATTTGCTGATTTTATGTGTTTGAAAGATGCTATACTCACTCTTGCATGCCAATTGCCAAAGAATGTACAAAAGGAAAGAACAAGAAATTCCAAGTATAGCTAGTCTGGAAACTCTTCTTGTTATAGAAATCAAATTCAGATAGAGCAAGTACAATGGATTGTACTAGCCTTTGATGGATATTAGGTAAACCTTCAACATGCAAAATCTTTCATGTATTGGGTTGTACCTCAGTAGTCCTTTTAGTTTTTGATTGAAATTGCCTTTTAATTTTGCTTGCCGATTAAGTCTTGAAAGCTAATGGTGGAACAGGGAAAAAAGACCAATTCTTAGAAACGTGGTCGGCCTGGTGACAGAACATATTGCTTCGAATTTTCCTTGTTGGACTGACAAAAAACCAACCACACACATGCCCATTTTGTTTGGATAAAGAAAGTTGAAAATCATGCTGTCACAAACGTTTGCCTACATGTATAGTTAAATTCCAGAAGATGAAATTCACCAGTCTTGGATGAGATGATGCTCGTTCAAAATGAGTAATTATCCAAACAGCGTTAACCTTGATATGGAATTTTAGTGGCGGAGCAAGTAATTTATGAAAGGGGTGGGGAAAGGGGCACCTTGTCCATATTGAACACCAATACTTTTCCAGTCTTAAAAAGAAATAAGTTAAAACTTTATAAAACATAAAATTAGGAAAATGGAGAAAATATGTTACATGATATCAAAAATTTTCGGGGGTCAAGAAGAGGACTTTTTTTTAAAAAAAAAAATTAGAATTTAATAGTCGTTAAATAAAAATTTAGCTTAATTACATTTATCACCCTTGAGGTTTAGCCAAATTACCATATGATTCCCATCGTTTGGTCAAACTACAAAAGTCCTCCGTCAGTAACCTTCTGTAAACCCAACTAACATATATTACTAAAATGACAAAATTGACCCAGTACAAAAAGTTGGAAAATAAAACACAAACGTGGAACAAAATGGGATAAGAACAAATCTCCGCGCTGATATTCATCTTCCAAATGGACCAAATCTTTCTTTCCTCTTCTTCAATCAATTCTCTTTTCTTTCGTATTATCTTTCCTTTTCTATTGAACGTATTGTTTTATCAATTGAATCTACAACTTAGATTTGGTTCTTGACATGACAAAATAGTTTTTCTTTCATGTTCTTTTTGGAGTGTGGCATGAATTTGCTGCTAATGGTGCAGATTTTTTTTGAATCTTCTTTTCTTATTTGTTATTAATTTTGGTCTTGGTTACCGTGTTATAAGATTAAGATGCTGTGACCAAAATATTATTGCTGTTGACATCTCAAAAAGTGTTTTCTTTTGATTTTAGTGTTTGAAGTTAGATTTAAGACTCCTAAAAAAAAAGTTTGATCTAAGAGATATTAATGAATATGAATGAGGTGGCCTTGACAATTTTTCTTTGGATTTTGGTAGTTTGAATAAAAGAAAGATCACTACCTACATGACTAGGTATCTTGAAACATCCATGACAGATTGGCATGTAGAGTTGGAGATTCTGCTTTAGCAAGGCTACAGTTGGTGTTTCCGGGGAATAAGGAAGAAATAAGGGTGGCGGAAAAAAAAGAAGAAGAAGAAAAAGGTAATAGTGCTTCGAGGGTATTTTAGGACCTTCACGTAAAGTTACTACAGTCTTTGTTGAATTTCAGGTGGTCAACGTCAGAGGACTAACGGGAGGGGTGTAGTAGTTAACAATTTATGATTTTTTGGGGGCGCCCTATAGTTTGGCCAAATCAAGGGGTCCATTTGATAATTTGGTCAAACTTCTAGGGAAGTAAATGTAATTAATCCTAAAAATTTAAAAACTTATGGATTGGCGGCAACCCTTCCCCCGGTTGACTCCGCCTTGAACCTCTGCGCTTATGATATTCTACATTATAGAGCCTTTAAGTTATTCAAATCTGTTCCCCTTACATTAGGAAACTAGTATAGAGTAAGTGTAATTGTAAGTCTATCTTAGATCTCTTTAGGTCCTCTTCCCCCTATTATAGAGTAAGTGTAGGTCTATCGTGTCCGAAAAAAAGGTCCTCCCTCCCCCTAGTATAAAGTAAGTATAGGTCTATCGTGTCCCGAAAAAAAAACATTAGGAAACCAGGAGGTGATAGTTGGTACATAATTATTGGGATTCGAAAAAAAAATCTTAGACTTGATTAGGTTAAGACAATATAGAGAAGATTGGGGGATTATCCAACATTAAAGAAGTAGTAGTTCTTTTTTTTTTTTTGGATAATTTCAGACATAAATACGTTCTAATATCAAAAATTACACTACCCACCCCTTGATTGACATATTTGGTAACAAATTAAGTCCATGTCGTAAAAAGTAAATTTAAAAATAATGAATTAGTCTTGTCAAACAATTATTTTCCAAGTTTACTCCCATTGATCCTACAAGAAAATGAGTTAAAATTTTTGGGCAAGAAAAATGGCAACAAAAAAAGGAAGAAAAATTGGATAAAATTGTAAGACTGTACCACCAAAACTTGAGCCTTGGTAATTATATAGTGGTAGAACCACAAGGTCAAGATATGGTGGATTTAAATTCATCTACAATATTTAATAGAAGTTTATCTACCATGCTTCAAAATAAAAAAAAATTTCCAAAACCACTTATACAATTGCATATGCAAGTGGTACAAAGCACTATAAACAAAATAAACTAAAACAAGTCTTAAATATCTTAAATATCAAGTTGATTGAATACCCATAATGAGCAATCCAAGGCAAAAAAAAAAATCTTAATAGGCTTTGAAGATGGTTAGGATTGTAAATGTTGCAATTGTAGCACCTTACTTTCAGTTACAGATTTGAGTTTGCCAAGCAATCCATTGAACACAAAACATCATCTCAGACTAGTTGTCCGAATGGTAAGGATTGCTAAGCTTAGGTGACTAGGTGACTATATGGTATCAGTTCCATCATGAGATTTGATGTACAAAAGATTCAGACCACTACCACTGAATGCAGGCTTAGTATTTGCTTAGTAAAATACTATTTAAATTACTAATTAGATATGTAGTGATCAGCCATTAAAACCACATGCTGAAGGAGCTACTAACATTGACAGAGTTAGTAGTTGCATTAGCTTCTATGGTAACAGTTCTGGATGTCTGAGAAGCTCCATTGTTGCTTTCTACAGGGGCATTTTCTCTAGAAGGCATGCGTGAATGAATGGGGGTACCACCAGTCTTTTTCTCAATAGTGTTTATTGTCCTTATGGCTTTAGCTTTTGTAGGCCTTCCTTTCTAACAAAAATAAATCATAAAGTGCTCTTATCATACCAGAGACATGTATATGCATATAAAGATGTATGTGGCTATCAAATGAAATTGAAATGAACAAAGTTATACCTTCTTTGTTCCACTCGGGCTAGCTAGGAATTGAATTTGTACATTAACAGTAGCAGATGGAGTTCCGGTACCCAATTGAGCTCGAGCAAATACAGAATTTGTGTTTCCCTTGATTGTATCCAACATTTAGGTATCTCCATAAATTAACAGCAGTATACAACTTACAAGGACATGAATTTTTTTTTTTTAATCAAACGATAACATTATATAGATATTAACACTTGAAAATACAAGAGTTAATTACAAAAAGGGGTAACTACCCCCATATCTTTTCTAGCAAGAACAGTTAACCATGTTGGAAATGAAGCTTGCCAATCAATGGTTTTAACCACCTTGGTTGCAAATTGAGCCACTTCATGACTGTAGCCATTCGCACTTCTGGGAACAAAAGAGAAAATACAACTGTCAAAACTAGTCTTTAGGGCCTCAATGTCTTCTAGGATTGTTTGTAACTTACAATCCTGAACATTGCCCGCATTGATCGAGCTCACAACGTTTCTGCAGTCCGACTGGACTTCTATCTTTGTCCATCCTGCAGCTTGAGCCATTTCCAGCGCACTTCGGATTGCTAATGATTCCTCTGTGGCAGCTTCCCCTTTTTTCCTTCTACTAATCCCTCGGACTTTCACTAGATCTCCTCGCCAGTTCCGTGCAACAATTCCCAATCCGATCCTGACCATTTTTGCTGAGATTGCTGCATCCGTATTAATTCTCACTACTCCCTCCTTTGGTGGCTCCCAATTATGCTGACTCAGTCTTTCCTGCTCTGTTGATGCGAATCCTCGGGGTTGAGGAACAGTTGCCTCTTCAAATTCGATCCACTCTTGCTGGGCTTTGTCAATTATCACTTTTGCATCCTCACTCTCCAGCTGGAATACTCTCTTGTTTCTCGCCTTCCAGAGCTGTCAAAGGATATTTACTGTGAGCTTGATGCGGTCCATTCCTTGGGCCCCCTTTGCCGATTCCATCATAACATCCCACCACCTCCACATGTTGCATTGTAGCTCAACTATCCCTTCCCAACTCACCGGAGCTAGCCTCCAAGCTATTTGAGCTGTTGGACAAAAAAAGAATACATGTTCAATGGTTTCCGTAGCCTCACCACAACATTGGCACAGATTGCTTCCTTTCCCAACTCTTTGGTAGAGAGCTTCACTAGTAGCCAGCCCATTTTGCAAACACCTCCATAAAAAATGCTTGAGCTTCATTTTGATATTTAAGCCCCACAATCTTTTCCACACCGTGTGCTTCCTAATTGCCCAGCTAGTCTCAGAGTCAGGTGCTATCCTGTGGTTCACAGTCTCCCTTCCCCCTTTGGCAATAACGTAGCCTGTTCTGATTGTATAAACACCAGACTTGCTATGCAACCAATACAATCTGTCTTTCCTTTCATATAGACTTAGAGGGATGTTAGTTATGAGTTCCACATCATCTATGTTAAACCAGCGATGCAAAGTATCAGTCTTCCACCTCCCCTCCTCTATTAGTTCATGGACACACTCAAGTTGACACCCTGCTGGTTTTGCCGTAGTTAATTTCCCATTGCACGATCCAGCTACCCATCTGTCTTCCCAGATTTTAATTGACCTTCCATCTCCTACCCTCTTGTATAGGCCCTGCTGAAGCAGCTCACCTCCCTTGTGTAAACTTTTCCAGCACCAAGATGCTGTGCTCGGGGGCTTTTGAACAAGCCAGTCAGTCTTTTTCATGTATTTAGCTTTCAGGACCTTGCTTACTAACAAATTCGGATTTGTAACAACTCTCCAAATTTGTTTTGCAAGCAAGGCAACATTGAAGGCTTCTAAATCTCTAAAGCCCAATCCCCCTTTCCCTTTAACTTCAGTAAGCTTACTCCACCTCACCCAATGCACTTTGTTCTCTAGACCATCCCCGCCCCACCAGAACCTGCAATAGTTGCACTAATACCCTTGCACAAGCCTTTAGGGAGCTTAAAACAAGACATTATATAGGTAGGCATGGCCATGATGACAGATTTGATTAGGATCTCCTTACCCCCTTGACTAAGCACTTTATGTTTCCATCCTTGGAGTTTGCTAATGATGGTACTTTTCAGGGACCCAAAAACCTGATTCTTAGCTCTCCCAATAGTCATAGGTAATCCTAAATATTTCCCACTAGAGGCTGCCCTCATATTGCCCAAAACCTCCCTAATCTCTCCTCGAATCCTGTTGGAGGTATTTTTAGTAAGGAACATGGCTGATTTACCAAAGTTTACTACCTGTCCTGTGGCTTGTCCATAAGTCTGAATGATCTCCTTTACCTTCTTAGCCTCCTCCTTGCTTGCTTTGCAACACAAAAGAGAATCGTCTGCAAAAAAGAGATGAGAGATCATAGGGCTGTCTTTGCAGACTTTGATGCCCGTTAGTTGCTTAGAATCCACACCTTTCTTGATAAAATTGGACAGCCCTTCCATACATATAATGAACAAGTAGGGGGATAGGGGATCCCCTTGACGGAGACCTCTAGATGGTTTGATATAACCCACATTTTGTCCATTCAAATTAAAAGAATAAGAAACAGTGGAGATACACGTCATGATCCAGCGAACAAAAGTAGGACAAAAGCCCATATGTAACATAATTCTGCCTAGAAACTTCCACTCCACTCTATCATAGGTTTTTGACATATCAAGCTTTAAAGCCATAAAGCCTACTCTACCACCTCTCTTACTTTTTAGGAAATGCAAGACTTCATGAGCGATGATAGCATTGTCAAGAATTTGACGCCCAGGGACAAAAGCAGATTGAGACGGATTAATACAGTGCACTAGGACTTTTTGCAATCTATTAGCCAAAATCTTGGAAATAGTTTTATAAAGGACAGTGCAAAGGCTTATAGGCCTGTAATTAGTAAGCACAACAGGATTGTCAACCTTAGGGATAATGGAGATAATGGTCTCATTGATAGCCGTTAAGATATTACCAGAATGGAAAAAACTTGTGACAGCATTGACAATATCATTTTTGATAATATGCCAGTATGTTTGGAAAAATAAAGGGGGCATACCATCAACTCCAGGGGCTTTATTTGGGAACATGGAAAATATGGCTTGTTTTATCTCCAATTCTGTCACTGGCTTGATCAACTGTGTGTTCGCGAGATTAGAAATAGTGCACGGTATGCCTTGCAACACTTCTTCAAATTCAGATGGATTACTTGAGTTGAACAGCTCCGCATAGTGCTCGCTTAACTCAGCTTTGATTTCCTCTGCACTCGTACACCACTCCCCATTAGCCTTCTGGAGTATACTGATATTGTTCCGTTTCCTAGCAGCCATGACACTTAGGTGAAAGTAGGCTGTATTCTTGTCCCCCTCTTTGAGCCATCTGCTCCTTGATTTCTGGCTCCAAAACAACTCTTCATCCTTGTAAGCTTTGCTTAGTTGTAGCTTTAAGGTTGTGATAACTCCTTTGTTGCATGGCTCATTCTCCTCACGGACGGACCTTAGTTTCTCCTTCAGCTCCTGAATTTTTGCCTTTGTGTTGCCTTTAAGTGACTTGTTCCATTCAATCAGAGCAATTCTACATTCCTTAATCCTTTTCACCACTCTGAACATTCTAGACCCATTTTGTTCCAGTCCCCAAGCTCTTTTAATAACAGCTATTGATGCCTCATCCCTTGCCCATCTTTGGTCAAAGAAAAACCTTCTTTTGGCCCTCCTTTGCTTCGATTTTGTGTCCATTAGGAGCAGGCAGTGATCAGAAGCCTCTATTTCAATGTGTTCCACAGCAGCATTCTCATACTTTTGTACCCACCCAACACTTCCTAAACATCGATCTAGTCTCTCTCTTATTTCTCCCTCCCCTTCCCATGTGTTACTCCATGTCCAAGGCACCCCCTTACACCCTATGTCCACTAACTCATTATCAGAAATAAAGCTATTGAACTCCCTAAAACTACCTTCTGATCCCTCTCTTTCCCCCCATTTCTCCCCGTTTGAGCAAATGTCGTTAAAGTCTCCCATTGCTACCCATTTCTCACCCCATGCCCTCTTTTTTCCCCTATTGTCTCCCATTGCTGCACTCTCACCCTCTAATCTGTACTTGCGTATATACCAACCAACCACCAATAATCACTCGTTTCCTTGTCTTCCACTCTTGCTGCAATATACCAATCAGTGCTGTGTATATCCAATAATTGTACCCCCTCCTTCCAAAACAAAGCTAGTCCCCCTGCTCTACCCTTAGGATTCACTACAAAACTATGTTCAAACTTAATTCTATTTTGCACCTGTTTCATATACCTTTCTTTGTTTTTTGTCTCACATAGGAACACCACACTAGGAGAGTGGAGGTGAATTACCTCCTTCAGTTGGGAAATTGTCAAGGGGCCTCCTGCACCTCGGCAATTCCACACCGCAACCTTCATTGTATAGGTGGAGGCATTGCGGGGCTAGCCTCCAATTCCCCTCCTTGCTGATCGACTTCCTGGTCCCTTCTTAATAGCTTGTGTTGTGGACTATGTGTTATGTCCTCTTCCATAAAGTCCAGGTCCTGCCATTCTTTCGTTGTTGTCCTTTTCTCACCAAGGTTACTCACTGTCCCTCTATCCGTAATGTCTTTCAGCGGCACTCTTGTAACACGTGAACTCCTCCTCCACTGCTTTTTCCTTCCTTGATTACATCTGCTTTCCTGAGTCCAGCAGTTGGCTTCCTTTGTTTCAGACTCATTGCTAGTTAATACCCCCTTCTCGTATTTATTTTTATCCTCTCGGTCAATGCTTGCATCTAAAACCATATCTTCTGGGCGCTGATTTTCTTTCCCGTTCCAGTCATTTCCCAGGTCCACTACCACTTTAGGCCTCTCGGTATTGTTTCTTCCTTTGAATTTGTCCCCCTCCTTTCGTGTACACTCCTCCTTGTCCTCTTTCTCTCAGCTTCCTTTCATCTCTACACTCTCCCTCAGAATCTCATCCCATTTTTCCTCCATTGCTAGCTTTTGTTGGTCACTCTTTTTATATACCTTGTCACTTTCCCTGCTGCTTGTACCAGTCTCGACCCCAGGACCTGTCTCAGTTATCATCCCGGCTTTATTACTTGGTCCCTTGCTTACCAATGCTACATCTCTGGACTTCTTAATCACCTCTGTACCAGTCATTAAGCACACTTTCAGAGGGGAAACCATAATATTCCCTGCCCTCATCCACGCTCCATATTGTTCTTCCCTGCACGTCTGACCCTCCCTTTTGTCCCCAGTACAAGACTTATCCCCATGCCCAATGATCCCACAATTGTAGCAAAAATCTGGGCATCTCTCATACCTAAATTCCACCCATGTATTCACTCCCTCAAGCTTAACCAAAGTTCCTCTTGGGAGAGGTTGTAGGAGATCCACTTCCATCATAATCTTCATATGTCTCCTAGATTTCCTCCCCCTGGCGGAACAAGAACCTCCCTAACAGATTTAAAAACCTTTCCTACCTTAAAGCCCACTGACTTACACAACCAATGAACTGGGAGATTCCAGATTTGTACCCATAGGTGAGCAAATCGGAAATTGTGATCCTTCTTTTCGCACCCAGCCTTCCATTCTTTCATCACAAGAATCTGGTTATCCATAATCCATGGTCCTCCCATCAGAATTTTTTCACGGTCCTCTCCCTTCTCCAACTGGAACTGGAAAATGTTAGGACCCAGTTCAGTCACAGTCAGATTCCTGGGGTATCCCCAGGCATGATTAGTAAAGTTCTTTATGCCCGTGAAATTTGCAACCTTTTCACCAATCAGTCTTCCTACCAAACTCTGCCTACAGTCTTGAACCCCCTCGCAAATGTCCTCAGGGCAGAGATCTACCCCTTCCAGTTTCATTGCCGATAGTTCAAACTTGCTAAAAGCTCTTGTTAGCTCTTCCTCCATCCTTCAGTCTTGCAGTTGCAGTGGCTCTACCTTGCACAAGGACATGAATATAAGACATACCTAATTTGGACAATTAGATTGCTACCTTGACTTGAGAAAACAACAGGTACCTTTCTAGAAACATGATCCTGCATTCAGATATAAAGTGTAACAGTTGATAATGAATGCCATAATAAATTTTGAATCCAACAACTATTGTAGTACCCAAAGTACAACCCCAGATAACCCTGTATTAGCCAATCCTCTACCTGGTTTCCCTTTTCTTTGACGAACCTGATAACATGAAATTAGTTAGAATGTCATATTAACCAAAGCAAATAACGAACAAAGGTCATATAGACAATGTGCATAACCACTACTAGAAGCATTGCTTTCTTTCTTTGCTTTCACTGGAGCTCTTTCACAAGTTCTCCTATTATGCCCATAAGATTGGCACAATGAGCACCTAAAAGCTTTAGACCTTCCTGTTTGAGTTGAAGGAGCATCCTCATCAGATTCTCTCCTCCTATTCTTTTTTGGTCTACCTGGTGCTCTTCTTAATGGGGCTAGTAATAGTGTAGCAGGGGTCACCTTAGCATATCAGGCCAATTTCTCTCATCAGAAGCTGGATTTATCATTCCAAAATATATCCTCTGGTACACTTCAATTGTAAATATTGGATCACAATATTTCTCAAGATTCTCTCTTTTGTATATAATTCCTAAAGCAGCATGCTTGTATGGAATTCCTGAAATTTGAAATGCTCCACATTCACAAGTTCTCTCCTGCAGATTGGCTATGTAGGACTTGCCAAATTCCTTTACTTCAAATAGTGTCTCACTAGCCATAGAAAACTCACATTTTCTAGATTGATTGGCAATTTCTCTCAGTTTCTCCACAATTGGCACAACACCTGTGTAGGTACAGCTCTTATGAAATCTTTTCTATAGTTTCTTTATGAATTTTCTCCTTAAACCTTCAAGCAATGTAAGAATAGGCAACCCCCTCAGATCACCAACCCATGCATTAAAAGATTTAGTGAAGTTATTCATCACATGATCACATTTTATAATAGGAGAAAATGAGTGTGTTGCCCAAGTTGTTAGCGGTATCTTTGTCAAGTATTTCCAAGTTTCAATGTTTATCTCTTTTCTCCATTGCCTCTTCATGACCAATTGTATCAAAGCTCTTAGCTGCCTGCCAGAAGTAATTACTAAGCAGCAACCCTGGAAAGGACAGTTTAAAGTTGCTCTGAATATGCCTACAGCAGTATCTTGCATTAGTGTATGGCATCAGTTCTTCATATGCTAAGTTTAGACCCTACATTTAACATAATTTAATTAGAACAAACAGAAGATTGGTAGTTAAGTTATATGACAATAGAAATGGGACATTTGTAAGTAGAACAAAATGTACCTTTTGTCTATCACTCATAAATGTTAGAGGCAGTTGGTTATCAAATGGACCAAAGTATTCTTCAAAGAAATGAAAGAACCATGACCAAGTCTCTTTATTTTCACATTCAGCCACAGCAATTGCAAGAGGGAATATGCTGTTATTCCCATCCAAAGCCACAGCAGTAAGCAACATTCCTCCATATGGTCTTTTGAGGTGGCAACCATCAAAACCAACAAATGGCTTGCAATATCTTAGACATCCATCTTTTTGTGCTTTGAAACTAATAAAAATTCTCAAAAATCTTCATTCCACCAAGAGATTTGGCCTATCAAATGTATTTTGTAGATGCATTGAGGGTTATTTTTCCTTAAAATCTCAGTATACTTAGGCAATTTTGCATATGACTCATAGTGTGTACCTTATATCTCTTCTAGTGCCCTTGTCTTTGCCTTCCAAATCTGCATCTTGCTAGGATGCACATCATATTTTGATACAATCTCAGCATAGACACTTTTTGTATTCATTTGAGAATGGATCCAAAGAAGTGGAACCAGTTTCTTTGCAATCCAATCAGATGTAGCCTCCGTATTCCTATTGTTCATAACACAAGTGTGCTGAGGTGTGTAAGACTTAATTTGAAAAGTAGTTGTTTCACCAACAGGAGAAACATGGATTTTGCATGGACAGCCTTCAACAGCACACTTAGCAGTACACCTTTTCTTTTCATTTTTCAGTTTTACTATGGGAAAACCTTTCTGGATTACATAATCCTTCAAAGCAGCCCTAAAAGCATCAATATTGGTGAATAACATATCCTTCTCAAATTCAATATCCTCTCTCAGATTATAGGTGAACATTTTTGCTCTTAAAGCTGCCCTATTTGGATCAATTTCATCCTTATATTTAGAATTCGAAATGACATCACCTTCATATTTGTCCTCATAATCTGAGAAAGCAATATTACTCATATCAGATGATTCATGTGCGTCACTGCCATTGCTTAAGTTGTTCTCTTTGTCATTGTTTGCTTCATATAATCAAGAATCATCATCACTTGAAATGAACACTTCATCATCCTTTTCAATATTTTGTAAATTAGGTTCAGCATTTTCAGCAATATCCTCAATTCCTAGATTCTCTTGCCCAGCACAAAAGTTGTTATTGTTGTTTACCTCAGGCATATTAAATGGAATTACATCCATGTGGTCCACAAACAAATTGATTACCAGCTTATTTTCATACACCTTAAATATTTCCAAGACTGCCTTATCAGTGTTGACGTCCATTGTTGCAGTAGTTCTTGGAATTCCACATCTCATATGTAGCAAATAATTAAGATTTTCAGGTAATTCATGAAGTGTTTTCTCACAAATATCATTCAACAGTTCTATATAAAAATACCTATCAGGATCTATATTGGGAATCCTGATTCTTCTTCCATTGTAGTGAACTACAAAGTCATGTGCAACCACATGTGACATTCTGTTTTACCCAAATTAATCATTAATATCATAGTTGTTACTTACTAACATCAAAATCTAAATAATGAAGTTAAATCTTCTTTGTCATATAATAATACCTAAGAGCAGCTTTCAAAATACAAAAAACTCCATAATCCATCATAGATTTTTTCTTTTCATTTGCTCACATCAGATAGCTTTATTATTCCAGAACAATCTCAACTTGTCTTTCATTCTTCTATTACCATCCTTTATTACTCAACAAGCTCTACATAACAAGTACAAGCCATTTATCTACTAAATGAGATGAACAAATACTTTTAA